TCGATAGCATTTCACTAAAGATCATGTTTTAAAAGGAAACACCCAATTATTTTTGTTCCATCTGACGATGAAATTGATGATGTCTTTACTAAGGCATTGGATGAAACAAAATTTAATGGGTTTCTGAAGAAACTAGGTATGATGATGCCTGGTCCACAATTTTTCCAAGATACATGTACTCTCTGATGGAAACATCAGAAAGAGAAATAATTCCGAAGTCAAAATCATTTCACCCAGAATCGTTTCCTCTTGGAAAGTATAGGATCATTTTACGTGTCTTTTTATTTTTTCTAACCCCTTCTTCTAGTTTTTAAGTTGTACAACTTTCCTCATCTATTGAAGCTCCTGACCAATATAGTTACATTGGTTTACATTGGTGTTTTTTGCATTGATCTCATCTAAAAATTTATTTCAAAATCAAGTGTTATGAAGTTCAATCTGGAATTCAAATCGGAAACGGTAATGTGTGTTCATCTCTCATCCTTGTCCGAGATCTTATCCTTCATGTCTCGGAATTCAAATCTTTTGAAAATGGTCCTTTAATATCTTCATGCTTTTTTACCTCTAATATTCAGTCTAAGATTGCGCCATCCTGAATTCTATACCATGTACTAATGACGTGTTCATATTCTATACCAAGTATCTTATGACATCTCGTCTCGAAATCTACTTGTTCTAAAATCCTTAGTTGTAAAAAGAATTTCAAAGGTTTTCATTAAAGTGTTTTCAATTCCGAAACGTTTTCTTATTTATATTAACGTAAAATTTTTCTTGATGATTATCCTTTAATTATCAATGAATGTTTTTTGGTAAACTTTTCAATAAAGTGCTTGTCAACTTAAAAGTGAAACGATGGTTTTCTTCTTTGGCACGAATACACGTCGAATCTTTTGCATTTATAGTTTTTAAGGATGCCATTTTTGGCAACACGTTAAATGTGACCCGTTGCACTTTCGGGTGTCATCATCTCTTTCTATTCGAACCGACCCGAAATATCCAACTTATAAAAGGGTTTCAAATCTCAAATGTTCCCACTTTACACTTTATCTATCTTCTTCTTGAGAACCCTTCTCTGAATTATGTTCTTCAAGCCTTTAAGAACTCAACAATGCCATCTTCACAAAATGTTCCTGAAATCCCCAAAACTACAACTAAGAAGAAATAGTCTAAGAGTTCTGCATCTTCGTCATCAACTGAACCAATTCTCAGAGAAACAACTTAACTTTTCTCACTCGACCCCATGGATTATGACGAATCCATTCATGTCATGATCAAGCTTATTTCTCACCATCCCATTGTTGTTCACTTACCGAAACTCCAAACCCTAAACTTCCATTAAGCATTCTTCACAAAGAATTTGAGAAGATCAATATTGACAACAACGTTCTTGAAACAAATCTTTTTGGTGACAGGATCGTCCTTGTGCGCAAGAAAATTTTTATGAAAGCGATTGGTATCCCAGAAAACCTCAATGGTTTTTCGAGTTCAAGAACCTACTTCTTAAGAATTTCAATCCTTTTTGAATGAAATTGGGTGTAGCGGTGAATTTAAAGTCAAGAAGTTCCAAAAATCGGTTGTTCCTGGTCTATGGATTATGTTGATGCATCTAATCCTTCGAGGATTAATACAGAAGCATGGTGGTACTGACACCATGAGTAAGCATTTGTTGTATGTAGTGTACAACATCTACTTTGTACAAACCAATGCTGTTAATTTGACAGAAGTGTTACGGAAAGACTTTCAGAAGTTTGCCATCAAAAGGAAGTCAAATGAGATATCGAGTCCAAGATTTTGGGCTCTAACACTTCAACAGTTGTATGAAGACAGAAGAGAAGCCATCCTTATCAATTATAATCCTAAACAGGTATCTATTTCTTTTAAGACCATTAGAACTTATAGGCTTCTGAATGAAACAACCTTCGGGCCTATACGTCGGTTGCCACAACAAATGTTGCCAACAGTTCCATTCGAATTTATGTATCTCAAACACCATCTAGAGACTTCGATTCTGTATGGCCCAACACAATCTGCCCCAGTCTCGGATAAGTAGCCCTCGAATGCTAACAAACTAATTTCCACTGGTGGCCGAAAGAAGGTGGCGAAACGAAAAACATCACCCCCAAAAGCTCAAGCCAAAAAAGAGAACCAAATTTAGTTGTTTCTCTTAAAATGAATCACATGCACAATCTGGGGCCCTTGCCTCAAATTCTAATTTTTCGAAAGCTGGAGTTGCCCTCTTACTTTCGGAGCCCCAATTGGTCTAATACTTGGTTCAGGTAAAGGACAACCAGGTACTATTGAAGAACAAATGTATGATTTTGTAGACAATGCTCACACACAACATCCAAAATTAACAAGAGCTCAAGTGGAGTGCATGCTTATCTCTATGCATCATAAGGGGCATCTAAAGCAATCTGTCATTCTCCACTCTAACTGATGAAGAAACAGATCAAGATTTTATCTCTTCCAATGTTAATTAAAAAATATGATTTCTCTTTTAATTTATTAGTCTTATAATATATTAATAAAACATAATAACCTCTTTCTCTATTATTCCTCTAGTCAAGTTGCTTTGGTGAAGGCAACCCAAAAGGTCCATGCACAATCGGGTCAAGTACATACCAAATATAGTTATGGACTTAGACACTAATCCAACTCCTTATCCAATAAAACATTTAACTGAGTTCATGTTCGATGATGATTTCACTTCGGTTGGTGCTCTTCCAATTCTTACAACATTCAAGTCATTGCAGAAACCATCCTCTTCCAAGCCGATTTATGATTTTGGCCTTTCCTCATCCTCCTCGGAACAAGTAGAAGTAGAAATACAAGTTGATGCCAATTCTTAAGGATTTCAAGGAAATCAAGCTGAAACCAATCCAAACACTCAAGGAAATAAATCTAAAACCAATCATGTCGAGACAAATCCCTCTCCTTCCGAACCACTTGATGTCAATGATGGTGATGATAATGATGATAAGTCTGAGAGTTCTATCTTGGACACCGGCTCCTCGGAAGAAAACATCACATATCCATTTTCCCTGATGGAACTTGCAGACAATGTGGCTAGTGTCTTCAAAGTCGATTCTCTTGACAAGACTATAACTCAACTCAATTTAAATCTTGATCAGAAGGTCACCAACCTTGACTTTAAACTTGAACTTATTCTTAAATCTATTTCTGATATCAAATAAGTTGTCCCCTCGTTACTCATCAAATTGAGTCAACTTAATCAGCTTATCTATCTCTAATTCAAGCATACCTTGAAGGAAGTCTAACAAAAATATAACAATAGCCTTGATCACCACATCTCCACCATCACTACAATGTTTAAGATTCACGACGATATGATCAATGCAACCAATGAACTGATCAAACAAACACAAATTCATCATAAAAAACAAATCTAAAGGTTGGAGAAGGATATTCGATAGAAAAATAAAATGAATCTGATAATGCAACAGGTCCTCATAAACCTACTCCAAGCATGTTGGAACATTACTAAGTCTCCTGAAATGCTCTATATTTTAGGCTACCTGTTTGATCACCATCCCATTTTTGTTCCACTTACCAAAAATCCAAACCGTAAACTTCCATTAAGCATTCTTCACAAAGAATCTGCGAGGATCCATATTGACAACAACATTCTTGAAACAAAACTTGCGGTGACATGATCGTCCCTATGCACAAGAGCCTACATCTTAAGAACTTCAATCCTTTTTGAATGAAATTGGGTGTAGTGGTGAATTCAAAGCCAAGAAGTTCCAGAAATCGGTTTTTCCCAATCTATGGACTGTGTTGATACATCTAATCCTTCAAGGATTATAATGGAAACATGTTGGTACTGACACAATGAGTAAGCATTGGTTGTGCATTGTATACAACATATACTCTGTATGAAGCAATGTTGTTAATTTGACAAAAGTGTTATGGCAAGAGTTTCAGAAGTTTTCCATCAAAAGGAAGTCAAATGAGATATCGAGTCCAAAATTTTGGGCTCTGACACTTCAACAACTGTATGAAAAAATAAGAGAAGCCATCCTCATCAATTATGATCCTAAATTGGTATCTCTTTCTTTTAAGAGCATTGAAACTTATAAGCTTCCAAACCAAACAGCCTTCGGGCCTATTCGTCGCTTTCCACAACACATGCTGGATATAGTTCCATCCGAATCTATCTATCTCAAACACCATATAAAGACTTTGATTGTGTATGAACCAACACACTCTGCCCCAGTTTTGGATGAGTAGCCTTCTGATGTGAACAAACAAGTATCCACTGGTGGTAGAAAGAAGTAGTTGGCGAAACGAAAAACATCAACCCCAAAAGCTCAAGACAAAAAGAGAACCAAATTTAGTTGTTTCTCTCAAAATAATCACATGCTGACATTTGGTCTAACTTTGGACCTCAGTTAACCCCTCCCATCCACTCTTCCGAAGTACCCTTTAGAGTTTCAAAATCAAAAGCACACATTCACAGGGAGTTTGCACACAATCCACCCCCATCTTACTAAAAAGATGGTGTGAACATAGTTCCTTGAAGCCCCATGGAACACACCAACATGTCTATTTGAATATCCCACTTTCATCTACACATGCACAATCTGGGGCCCCTGCCTCAAATTCTAATTTTTCGAAAGCTGGAGTTGTCCCTCTTACTTCTAGAGTCCCAATTGGTCTAATACTTGGTTCAGGTAAAGGACGACTAGGTACTATTGAAGAACAAATGTATGATTTTGTAGACAAGGCTCACACACGACATCCAAACTTAACAAGAGCTCAAGTGGAGTGCATGCTTATCTCCATGCGTCATAAAGGTATCCAAAGCAATCTGTCATTCTCCACTCTAACTGATGAAGAAATAGATCAAGAGTTTATCTCTTCCAATCCAACCGAGATTGCAACTACAAGAGATGTTCCCGATCCAACAATTGTTTCAGATGATCGTCCTCCAAAGTTTACAAGTAAAGAAATCATAGACTCCAGCAATTGTTTCGATGATGATAGCACTTTGGTTCGTTTTCTTCCAATTCTTACAACATTCAAGTCATCACAGAAGCCATCGTCTTCCAAGTTGGTTTACAATTTTGGCCTTTTCTCCATCCTCCTCAGGACAAGAAGAAGAAGAAATACAAGTTGATGCCAATGCTCAAGGAATTCAAGGAAATGAAGCTGAAACCAATCTAAGCACTCAAGGAAACGAAGTTGAAACTAATACTGTCAAGACAAATCCCCCTCCTTGCGAAGCACTTGATGTCAATGATGGTGAACATAATGATGATAAGTTTGCGAATTTTTCCGTGGACACGGCTCCTCGAAAAAACCGCGTATCCGTTTGCCGTGTTGGAACTTTGAGACAATGTGGCTAGTGTTGTCTTCAATGTCGATTCTCTTGACAAGACTATAGCTCAACTCAACTCAAAGCTTGATCAGAAAGTCACCAGCCTTGACTCTAAACTTGAACTTATTGTTAAATCTCTTTCCGATATCAAATAAGTTGAGTAACATCCCAAATTTCCAATAAAAATTTTCATTTTTAATTAAAAAAAAAATCATTCTCAAGACATAATATTTCAACCACATTTGTTTTTCAAATATACATAATATCAAATAAATTATCCAAAAACATCAGAGTGTCCCAAAAAATGTTGGAGAGTGCATGTCGCACCATCACTCCAGGCCCTTGCCCTTAGGCTCTGAAGTACCTGAAACAACCAAAAAATTGTAAGCTAATGCTTAGTGACATCTCGAGAGATTTCCCTACACAATCCACATAATCATATAATCTATATTACCTATATCAGCTATGCAAACCACATAAGCCATGCATATAAACATATAAGGATGCCCTAGAAACCCTCCAAAGTCTTACTCCGGGTGCCATGGGAACCCCTACATGGTCTTAGCCCCATGTCCCGGGAACCCCCCCAAGGTCTTGACTAAGGATGCCATGGAAAACCTCCAGGGTCTTTTACCCTAATGTATTGGGTACCCCCCGATGTCTTTACCTAGGATGTCGTGGAAACCCTACAAGGTCTTACACCTAAATGCCTTGGGAACCCCCTGAGGTCTTTACCTAGGATGCTGTGGAAACCCTCAAAGGTCTTACACCTACGTACCCTAGGAACCCCCTGAAGTCTTCCATACAAGTATCATAATGATCACTATCATACCACATATCGCGTAATCAACTAACATTCCATATAACACGTTATGGGTGGGCCTTGGTGCTTTCGACCCATTGGAATGGTGAGAAGACTCACCTCTCAAGAAATGTTGAACCGATAAGATCATTCCCAATCCACAACTCTAACTCAACCACCTACAATCACCAAGTGAATTATTTGTAAAAATCCTAAAATACCAAATACTCTTAAATTCAAACCTGGTCAACCATGGTCAAAGTCAAGGTCAACAGTGAAGGTTAACAGCCCATGTTGACCCCAACTTGTCAAGTGCATCTAGCAAGTCGTCGAGTTTCTTCAATGTTAAGAAAAATGGGAGAAAACCTAACTAAGTCGTTGAGTTATCTCATCAACTTGTCGAGTCTATCCAAGATTCAAAAGTGCGAAAAGCTGACTCGACTCATCGAGTTCCTTCACCCTTTTCATATTTAGTCCTTTCCAATCGAATGCAAAGCTCCAAACTACAGGTACTGTCCCCTAGGGTGTAGTTACTACGTAAAGTTGCCAACTTTACTTGCATGCAAGGCCTCAAGAGGCTAAAACAAACAAAACTAAGGTTGAGAAGAGGTTTAGGAGAGAAGGGCCAAGACTAGATAAAGTCGACAACTTTATGTCCATGGCCCCTAAAGGAGTCTAGATCTGAGACTATGTCTTCATGAGAAGCTCAAACCTAAAAGTGACTCCGCTCTGCCCTAGAAATCACAATATTCTTTCATAAGGGAAGATCTAAGGAATGGAAAGCCAAGGTAAATACTTTTTACCTCCAAATGGTTGCTAACATAGAGTAGATATTGGATCTACAGCCTCTCCTTTTTCTCCAAGGTCTTCAAGCTCCAAATTCCTTCACAACCACACCAAAATCACTCTTTAAGGCTCATACACATTCAAGAAAGTACAAGGCCCGAATTAGGGTTTCTATGGGCTGTAAAGAAGATGAAGGAGGCCACAAATGAGCCATAAGTTCTTTATATAAGGTGTAACACCTGAAAAATTAGGGGTTTTCTTTCCAGCGTCTACTTGTCAAGTTGGGGCCTTCCAATGCGTCGAGTAAACCCTTTATCCCACATCCAAAGTGATCCATACTTGATGAGTTGGAGCTCCCTAACTAGTCCAGTCCCAGTTCAAATCCCTAAATTGTTAGAGAAATAATTGATACCTGAAGCAAGTGTTACAAATCTCCCCCACTTGAACTAGACTTCGTCCTCGAAGTCTACTGATGCAAACAAATATGGGTAGTGCTCTCACATCTCATCCTCTGACTCCCATGTCCATTCCGAGCCCATCCGGTGATGCCATTGCACCTTCACTAGAATCACCTCCTTGTTACTGAGAACCTTAGTCTTCCTAGCCAAGAATGCAATGGGTCGCTCAATGTAATTCAGGCTCTCATCCACTTGAATTTCATCCAAAGATATAACCATAGCCTCGTCAGTGACACACTTTCAGAGCTGATACACATGGAAGGTGTTGTGAATCTGGCTAATCTTGTACGACAGATCCAAATGGTAATCCACCTTGCCCACCCGGGCGGTAATCCTGAACGGACCAATATATAAGGGCCCTAACTTGCCCCTCTTCCAAAACCTAATGACACCCTTCCATGGTGACACTTTCAGTAAGACGACGTCTCCCACCTGGAACTCAATATCCAAGCGATGCCGGTCTGCATAGCTCTTCTAACGGCTCTGCACAACCCGCAGCT